GGGGGGGTGGGAGGAAGAGAGGGATTCTAACTCATTAAGCACCTACTGCAGGCCAAACACCAGGTAAAGCACTTTATATCCTTACCCCTTTTAAGCACCAAAACAACCCACTATGGGAGGTATTATCATCTCCACTGTATAGAAGAGGAGACTGAGGCTCAAAGGAATTAAATAACTTGTAAGGTCATACCCAGTGAGTGCTAAACAATCGTCCAGGCAATCTTTCTTCTAATGTCTTTTTCTTTCTGAGATTGGTTCCCTTTCCTTGGGTCTAATTCCTGGCAAGAGGTATGTGAAAATAGTTCCTGTTGCTCAGAGATCATGATTATTTCCACAAAAATTGGATTTTCTCATGAACAAAGGAAAAGTGAGAAAAGATGGAACAATATGCAAGGAAAGATGCTCTCAAACGATTCCGGTATATCTTTCCATAAATATTCTAGACAGTGAGGACAGCTTGGAGAAAATGTAAAGAAACCCAGATGTCAAAACCACAGAAAGTGTTGTTTTGTGAAGGACTCTCACGAGTCCTTCAGAAAGTACAAGAAAAAGGGCTTTTAAGGGAGCAATTAAGACTTTGCCATATGAGACCACTGTGGAAAAAGTGTATACAGAACTGAAACTCTTGGGGTTCTAACCCAAATCATCACTGACCTTCTCTATGACCTTCATCTCAATCAAATGACCTTTTGTCAGAGCAAAGGGTATTTGCACCTGACAAGAAGTTACCACTGCTTTTTTTTTCCTGGTAGCGCATGAGCAGTGAACATGAAACGTTAGAAGTAATCATCACTGGATGTTAGGCATGCAGGAATTTTGGAAATCGTCTAGTCTAGAGATTTCTAAACTCTTTTTAGCCAAAGGAAACACTGCTCAAACAAAATGTTTCAGAGAAGCCCAACATGCAGAACAGCAGAAGTAGGGATCCTCCTAGGGGTCTGGAGGGAGGGAGCAGTTCTGAGAAGGCTCTCCAGGGCAGAGCCGGGATACCACCTCCTCATCTACGGATCAGAAGCAGGAGGCCCAAAGAAAGTTCAGTCACGGCTGTGGGCACACACCTGAAACTGGATCTGCGCTCCATCTGGTCTCTCCACCACACCATGGTGCTACCCTTCATTCCCTCAACTAAGGCGCTGGTTTTCCTGAAATCTCCCTGCGACTGGTACATGGGGCTAGTGTGGCAATTTTCACATTATAATCTCATTATTTGCATGGCAGTCTTCCTACTTTATTCTAAGGCAAAGGTCAACAACTCAAATCCTTACAGGGACCAGATTAGTAATTCCTCTGACACTGTAGGGAGTGAGAATGGGAAAAAAAAAAAAGACAAACAAAATACTTTGCCAGCCAAACAAATACAGCAAATTGGTTTACAATTCTTGCATCCAAGTTTCCAGCTCACCTACCCTGCTCCTATTCCTTTCTTTCTAAACTAAATGCAACAGGAGGGCAGAGGTTATTACTACTCACTCCTGTATTCCCAATCCCTAGCACATAAAATGACTGAGGATCTGAGCCATATCTTCATATTTTGGTATCCCCAGCACCTAATTTACTGAACTGAAAGACCCTGAGATCATCAAAAGCATGCCAACATCTAGATATAAAGTACAACTATTTTAATTCTTCACTGTAAATGGAGATTTGGCCATTAAAGAATAAAGTACTGAATACCTACTATGTGCCCAGGCACATCCCAGGCTTTGGGGGTACAGTGTGAATAAGGCAGGCCAGGTCTCTGCTCATGTGGTATTTATACTTCCTCATAACCTTAACTGTTCACGTAATACATGTAAGATTATTAAATTTTGGTTACGTGGAATCCTGGAGGAAGTTATTTGAGATTAAAAGACAGTTTATCAGATTGCAAAGGTTTTTTTTCCCTCTATTTACCTACATCCTCACACGATTTACAAGCTCCTTTGATAGAAATCAAGTATGTATTTAGATCACTGTGTCAGTAGCAAGCCAGAGAACATAACATAGTAGAGGGAGGACGGACAGGATACACCCTGCTAATTAGCACTCTGCTACACACACACACACACCCCCTAAAGGAAAAAGGGTAGAAGTATCAGGCAGAAAACCACTTTAGAACTACCACCTAATAAACATGGATGGAACTGGAGGGTATTATGCTGAGTGAAATAAGTCAATCAGAGAAAGACATGTATCATATGATCTCACTGATACGAGGTATTCTTAATCTCAGGAAACAAACTGAGGGTTGCTGGAGTGGAGGGGCGTGGGAGGGATGGGGTGGCTGGGTGATAGACATTGGGGAAGGTATGTGCTATGGCGAGTGCTGTGAGTTGTGCAAGACTGTTGATTCACAGATCTGTACCTCTGAAACAAATAATGCAATATATGTTAAAAAAAAAAAAAAAGAAGAAGATAGC